ATATATATATATATATATATATATATACTTATATATAAATATATATAAATAGATAGACAGACAAATAGGCATAAACATATGCGTACGCATACAAACCTGTGTAATACACATATCTACTAAACATAAATACTCATTCGTAGCAATATATGCGCATACTTATCTCCTTATCCATTGTTGCGGACTGTTTTTTATGCTATATTAATTTATATTAATTTACTAATGTTCTCTTTTTCAAAAAAGTATGTCGACTGGATCAGGTGGCTTATTAAATCGTTTCCGAGTGTCATCGGTTGCATACGGCTCTGACCGAAAAAAGCAGCGGTCTAATCGGCTAGTAGAAGACTATCGATCAGATCCACAAAGAAATGAACAACAAGAATTTGAACTTCAGATTCAACCTCAAGTTTCTAATAATGCTCCAGCAACTATATCGCTCACTACACCAGGTAATCAATAACTTTAATTTTATATGAATTTTTTAAATAATAATTTTGATAGTAATAATATATCACACGCAATTATTATTTTATTTAAAATTGGCTGCTTCAAATTTATGCATTTAATTAATTGCGTTGCGCATTATTCCACCTGGATAGTTGTTGCGCTCATGTTCCATTCTCACGCTGATTATAAGCACTATAGTATTCAAGTTACCTAGAAAAAAATGAGAAAAAGTCAATCATTCAGCCAGTCATCTAATTATTTATTGATTTTAATATACATTATGTTTTTTTCTTTCCTCGTTATTTTAAATGACTTTAACTGTTGGTCAAAAAATTTTGTTGCTTTCCAAGTATTGAAAGCTTTTGCGACAAATTTTATGCTTTCCACTTTGTTTTCGTCCCAAACGAACTATTGTCACTTATATCAAATTTCTCGCTTGTGTGCAACATTTTCTTCTGTGTGCAAAAACTATTTTTTTGGTCTACATATTTTTGTTCTTATTTCTTGATATATATGTCTGTTCTTAGGTATAGCAATTACTGTCATACTTGACAAGCTGGAGCAATATAAATGTTGAACATTTATGCGACGAAATGACGACGATTAGGTGTGCAAAGTTTTTGGTTACTTACAGCCTTTACCTTTTTGCTGTCTATGAAAGGAGTTACTGCATATAGATAGTGAAGTAAATCAGCGTCTAAATTATAACTCGTTAATGAGAGCATCCACTTTGCTGAGAGATTAAAGTGATGGTAGAACAAAAAGTAGAGGCTTTCGGTTTTCAGTATTTTGGTGAGGCGTGAAAATTATTTAGTTTATTACAGAAATGAGTGAGAACACTCAATTAAATTTAGCATTTAGAAATATTTGGTAAGGTTTCATTGTTTATTTGTCCGTTTAATAAACGGCAAAAAATTAAAGCAATTTTAAATAATGAAACAAATGAGGTTTTAACTTTGTTTTTTGCTGTTAATTGCATATGAAGGCATCAATCTCGACATAACACATCAAATAAATTTTTTATTTTTTTTTCATTATTTAAAATTATTTAAAATTGTTTTAGTTCTGGCTCCTTCATTTTCTAGTTCATTCACTTAATGATCGAAATAAAATCTGCTTTCATACCAGAAAAGCATTTCAAAGTTTTGGGGACTTTTTGTATTGCTTTATAATGATATTTTTATTACTTAATCCCCACCAAAATATAGCAGAATTTTCGTTGAGACGAATAATTATTTTTATCATATTTATAAAATGACTTTGCCAACGCAGTTTAGTTTTTACTATGATAAGATTGTTCGATTTTTCTTGTTGAGTTATTAATATATTAGATCTTTTAACAACATAGCTGTTGGTCATAAATAACTCATTCAGAGGTTAAGGTTCGGGTCATCAAGAAGTGCTCATTTTTTGCCCGCTTTAACCATGTTCAAGAGGATCAAATTTCTTGCAATATTTTTTTCACATGGCAAGGGGGGATACTGGTATGAACTAAGAATTGATGAGTTCAGAGTATGTGTAAGTAGAAGAAACTTAATAACGCTTTTAAATGAACATTTGCATTTTGATGTTATCAAAAAATGTTACTTTTTCGATTGATCCAGTCAATCCTAAAATCACTTTAGTTGAAGATAAAAGCAAATGAAGCAATGAAGAGGTGCTAAAAAATTTGCCATCTATAGACAATATTATGGTTTTAATATTATACACTCTCTTTTTGTAAATGTTGATTTTATGACTTGAAATTTTTTTCTTGCTTGATGAAGCAGAAAGTTATCTTTCTTGAGCTCATTCAATAAATACTGAGAAGATTAGCTCTCTCTGCTGAGTCATACTTGAAAAGTGCAAATGCAACAGGGACGACGAGAGCATTAGTGAAGTAAATAGGGAAAAAATGACTGAATTCATCACATTCTTTATGGATACTTGAAAAGGGATTGGAAGTGCTTTGCAGCATTCAAATTTTCAAAATAGACGCATAGAAATAATACCAGAGATGAAACTTTTGCAAGCTTGAGATGCGGTCAAATTTCCGAAACATCATTGCATTTTTTGGAGAAGAGCGCATAAGTTTGTGAGATATTCACAAGGTGCCGTCGTTGATTTGGATTTTTATTATTTCTAAGTTTTTTTTGATTAGTTCAAAATAGTTGTTTCAACTAGTGTATGGTTTTTTATTCTTTTTAAATAAACTTGCTCCAATTCTGACTTGCATAAAGGTTAGTAAAAGTTAAAGATAACATTAGGGTTTGCAAGAATAAGTGTAGAGATTTCATTACTAATATAAGTGTGCTTGAAGGAGAAGGAAGAAAAGAAATCTGCACTGGCTATGAAATAACTATTGGTTGTTCAAATATGAAATTTTCAAAGTAGTATATAGAAGAAATAATTTGAATAGTGATAAAAGATGACATGCGCAAGCATATTTTCACCTTTTACTGCTTTACATATATCTGGCTATTACCCTATATAAAGTTAGTCCACTTGTAAACAGCTGGAGTAGGATATATGTTGCAAGTTGATGTACATCACCTCTGATTACTTATCTGCATTTTTCTAAATTTAAATAAGAGGATACACAAGCCAAGAAATAAAGTAACATTGATGTACTGTATGTGTGGTATATGGAACTTTTCTTGATAGACGAAATACTATTAAAATCATTAAAACTAGTTAAAAACAGCTTGGATCATTTGAAATAATATGAAAAACAAAGACTGCCTACTTGCGAATAACTTGTTTTTTCAGTTCCGTAGCTATGCACTTTTTCCTTATAACTTGGAGTTGATTTTTTCGCTAGCAAATTTCTAACCGTTCAAAAATGAAATTTATGGATTATAGCAAATTAATTGATCATCACAGTGAGACGTTTCATTTTTCTTTTTTAAAAAATCGGTTTTTTGTGAGTTTAAAATTTTTCATTTTTGGAAATTGGGTGATGCTTCAAATAGAAATCTTGCAAAAATTGATCTAATTATGTCTGTTAAAAATGATAAATGAGCATTTGAAAATAAACCTTAGCGATAAAATTTGAGGAATCAATATGTTGTCATCTGAAAGCAAAAAGAGCAAAAGATACTCAGAATAGGAAAAATCGTGGAAGAAAATAATTAAGCTTTGAAAAACGATTAGCGAGTCTGGCATCTGAGTGATATTTCACCTGTCTAAAATATTTTTATTTTCGTTGATAAAAATTTGCAGGAAGAGGAAAAGAAATGTTACTGTAAACGAATTTCTTTACTTTAGCAAATATTCTTATCACTGATAATGTTAAGATTGTATAGTTTATACTTATAGTTTTCTAATATTTTAAGATTGTAAGTAATTGTTTAACAAAAATTTCAAGCGTAACTTCATTTCAAAATTTAAATGTAAAATTTTAAAAATATCCAGTTCTAGCGCTCAGTATTATGCTAGTAAGACGGAATCGTCCATAATAACAGTCTAGTTGCATTAGAAAATTTTGTCGAATTAAAAAAAGGAGTTGCACTCAGGTGAGAAGGTTTTTCTTTGACAATTTCAAAAATGGTTTCTGGTTACTTTTCCAATCAAATTTCGGTTACCGCTGAATGAAAACACTGAAATTTCCATCTAGTTATTACTGGAAATTAATTTATCCAAACTTCTGAATACATGAAGATTTTGATGATCAAGTGATCGTTTTTTTGTCAAACAAAGCTTTTTTTAAGTTGATGAGATAACTTTGAAAAATATTTGAACTTTCATGGCGAAAATAGGTTTGACATGGCTTGTGAAAAACTGAAGGAGCTGAATGTTAAGTGCACAGAAATTTCTAGTAAACGAGATTATAAGTAGGAATTTCACCAAAACAAACATTTATTTTGCTACAAATAATATAATTGGAAATTTCACTAGAATCTTTTACAGCATGTATTCATTTTACTTAGAAATTCCCATCAATATGCTCATTTTGCTGTTGAACATATTTCATTGGCTTATATAATTTACAGAAATAAGTACGTCACTTCTAGAGAGTCACTTATAAAATATCAGGAACATGACTTAAAGAGCGTGATTTTTGTTAAGTAAGTTTGAAATAACGCGAATACTGCACTAATGCGCCACTGCAAGAAAAAATTTTTATTGTTTATTTGATTTCATACTGCAGTGATTTAAAAAAAATTTTACTTCACTTGAAGATGTGAATTTGAAATTTTGCTTTCATTGAATATTTTTGGCCATTTATTACCATTAATTTTTTCAAATTATTATGAAAAAATGTAGTATTGATCTAATGTGATTGTATTTTTATGTGTATAAAAGCATCAACTATCTTAATGAGCGATTAATGTTGTTTAGAATTGTTTATCATCTACTAATGGTTTCTGAAAGAGTAATGCATGATCGAAAATATCACTTTGCTTCACTAGTTTTAGTTCAGCCTTTGTTTGGAAGGTGTAATCTGACCTTATGTAGACTGCAGGAGTTGAAACTGATAGTGATTTTTAGCTTTAATCATATTGCAGTCCATTATTAACATGTTGATTAGCTAATATTCCGTAGTTGAAAACTTGTGAAAAAAAAATAGATGTGTGATATGCAAATATGGATCAGTTTGCACTTCATATGATTCATTTTACTGTACTTGCATTTCAATCATTTGGACTTGCAATTTCACTCCCGCAAACACGGTTTTACCGCTGTTTGGCTGCTGATTTTAATTCTTTTTGATGTATTATTAGCCTTTCATGCGCATTTGTCTATTTATCAATCATTCAATCAATCAACCATCAACCTTTCACTCAATCAAAATATCTGTTTATTTATTTATCTCATTTCTTTATTTTACAACATATATCCATCTCCTTTGATATCCATCTCAAACATTTTTCATTAGTTCATCCTTGAGTTAATTTTATAGTACGCACTATATCTCAGTCTAATAATTACGAGAGAAACTTTTCGAAGCTGTGTTTTCAAAATGGTACACTAGTTAACGGATAAGATGTTCATTTGATGCGTTATGAGGGAACAGTAAAATTAGATGAAAAC